TGAAAGACAGTTTTCGTATAATAAACAAATACTTTATTAAATTATATATTGACCGTTCTGGTCCAACACCTTTTGCCATCTTTCTGGTAGTAGCATAATTCCACGCTCATAAAATTTTTGGTCTTTGCTGGCAAAAAACTGATCGAGGAGGTTTTTGACCTCCTCATTTGAGGTGAAGGTTTTACCGTCTAAATAATTTTGGAGTGACCGGAATAAATAATAATCCGATGGTGCCAGGTCTGGAGAATATGGTGGGTGTAGCATTGTATCCCCTTCAAGCTGTAAAAGCTTTTGACGAGTGACCAAACTTGTGTGAGGTCTCGCGTTGTCTTGGTGAAACACTACACCTTACCTGTTGATTAGTTCTGACCTTTTCTGTTGAAGTGCATCATTCAGTTTGTCCAGCTGATGACAGTAGACTCCACCAAAAAGACAGCATCACCTTTTTTTGGTGAATATCGGTTTTGGAAATGGTTATGATTGAATAAGCAAGACCAAAAGTTAATAGGCAAGACCAAAACCAGACCGATACTATGTCAGCAAGACTACCACCAAGTTTAGAATTTTTTGAGCAAGAGCAAGACCAATACCAAATAAGCAAGACCAAGATCAATACCAAGACTGGAACAGTCTTTGTTTTGCTTTGCGCATCACTACATTCATCCGACAATAAATCACTGAAGATGTCATCCACAGTTGATGTCGAAACATCTGGTATTAGGATCACCAACTAATCTAGATCATAGGCAGTAAACCCGAAAACCTCTAATATCCAAATTGACTCTGACCATGAAAGCCTTTAGCAATTACTTAAAATAAATATCTTACGTAGAAATCGTCGGGTTGAGTAAGTTGAAGTTTTTCCCTCAAATCCTTCGGCGCTCCCCCCAGAAGGATATAGAATATGTGGTAAGTTCTTTCGTCGCCCGAAGCGGAACAAATCCTGGACTTTTCCAATAAATAATGAGAAATGTAGCCACCCACCACGTTAAACTTGTCATTGTAATGAATTTCGATGAATTTTCCAAACCTGGAGCTGTTGTTATTCCTTGTAGTTTTCGCGTTACCAAAAGCTTCTAGGACGGGATTCGCCTCGAGGATATTTTGTTCTATAGGTCCTGCTGATCCTTGAGTATCGCACAAAAATCTTAGCAAATGCTTCGTAGATTCAGTTTTCCCTGCGCCCGATTCTCCCGACACTATAATGGACTGGGATTGTTTGAGAATCCTTATGTCTCTTGCCGCCTTGTCGGCGATTGCGAACACATGTGGCGGCAGTTGTCCAATGTCCTTTCCGTGGTACTTCTGGATAATTTCGGAGTCATATAAAGCAGGAATTTCCTTGTACGGATTAACAGCTATCAAGATATTCGCGACGTAAGACTAAAATTTGGCAATAAAAATTACTAGGTAGTTGCTTTAATTCAAACATTAAACTTACATATATTTTGTCTTTGTAATAGCGATTTTTGATATTGTTCAACAACGTGGCTTCGTTTAGGAACAACATTTCACCTAATAAATTTAGAAAAGAATTGATTTAAGAGATGCGAAATTGCACAATTATCAAGTACGATTACTTACAGTTGTCATTGACTTCTTTGGTTGGATCGCCAGCTTGGAAAATGTCATCAAAAGAATAAACCGCTTTCGCATATTTGGGTTCGTCAGGGACAACTTCCGCCCCATCCCCCACGAGTTCAGAAATTCGCCCCAACACAAAACCACAATTGGGTTCTCGTATCCACACTTGATCGTCCATGGTTTAGTTTCCCTTTCGAACAATTTGAAATGAACCCATACAGGGTTGGCGTTAATATTAAATCGATAGGTAAATACCTCAATCGTTATTGATAACGTTTTCCATTTCGTGAAAGATAAAATTAAATTGATGAAACTCAAATAAACTCTTACAAGACTTTTTGATAAGGCTGTCTCTATTTGTGATAAATTTTCTTTATGTTGTTTCTTAAGTAAGTAATTAGAAAGATATAGGTACACAATGTACGAGGTGTTGATTATTTGCTTTTCTTTTCCTTTTTAGATAAAATTGCACTCTAAATTACTGATTTCGAAACGACAAGTTTTCAGGAGATAAAGTTATTTACATCTTACTTGTTCCAAGTGTATGTAATGTTTTTCCTTAATTGGACTAATGTAATTTTGTAGAACTAGCAGATCGACAAGATAAATATAAATTATTAAAATCATCGAAAATAATTGAATTGCTTTATTTATTTCTGTTCTGTTTTATTGTTAATAATAATGCTGGTAATAAAAATAAAAGCAATAATCATAATGAATGTAATGTAATTATTTCACATATCAACGTTTATGATCGGCAATCTGACGCATGTACGTAGGGCTTTCCCCCATTACGTTTCCATTTGAATCGTGTTCCAGAAATATTTTGTATTTAATGCTATTTAAAAATATTTATTTCAACAATTATTGTTACCTGTTATTACAAGGATTGAGGGTTTTTCTTAATAATTTAATGTTATAATGATATATAGAATAAAGGTTTTCAGACAAATTTTATAAGAAAAATATTACTAATTGATTAAGTAATTATTTCTATGAAAAATTTTGTAGTTTGTCAAAAGATAGCATTGAGTTCCATGTAAAAGAGTTACTTTCCAGAGAAAAAACGTTTTAAAACTTTCTATCCACTTAAATTATTACAGTTGTAATATTTGATGTATGTTCGGTTGCCTATATATTATATTACAAGTACGAGTAATTGAATTGCAAAAAAATATATAAATTAGTATTCCTAACTGCGTCTACATGGCAAAAATATAACCTAAAGATGAATATTCATCAATCTACCTCAATCAAACCTGAATTACAGCTCAATTACAGCTTTAATTTTAAATTGTCCCGGCGCCTCCACCAAAAAGTTTCAATGAATTTTTTAAAAATTGTTGACAACTGAATAAATTTATGAAAGGCTTAGTTTCGATAGTTTGCAATACAAATTAACTAAAAACTCGTAATTAACAACAAAAGATCTTTTTAACAATTCCAAGTGAAAATGTGTAAAGGTTTCCACTTAAACTTTACAAGAAGATGTCTGAAAATATTACTAATTAATTCGTTGTTTGTATGTAATATTTTGTGGTTTGTTTAAGAATAGTGTCAAGTTTCATGTGAAAGAGTTATTTCTGTTAGAAAAATGTTTTTTTGGTTTTCTTTTTAGTTAACTCTTAGATTTATAATATTTGTGTATGTTGGGTAGTCTACATACTATGTTACGTTACATGCTGCGATTTAATTGTACAAAACAATATTAATAGCATCCCTAACTGCATGTATATTGAAAAAATATAATTTAAAGATGAGTATTCATCAATCTACTTCAAACAAACCTTAATAATAGCTCAATTACAGCTTTTATTTTAAATTGCCCCGGCGCCTCCACCAAAATTTTTAATTAAATTTTTTAATTTTTATTGGTAATATTCGTGTTTCTTTAAAAACGTCTTGTATTCGATATTAAACCGATATTTATGAGATTAATTATCCACAACGACCATCAACAAATCAAATTTTAACATTTTTCTGATGGACTTTTGTATGTTTTTTTTCAATTTAGATTTGAATAAGTTAAATGTTTCCAGTTCTTACGTATCTTTTACAGATTTTGCACGACCTCAAATGTAGAGTACTTACCTTACAAATTTTTGGTAACTGTAAGGGGTCGAGGAATGTCTTTTTTTTTGTTTCCCCATTAATCATTGAAAAATATTGAACTGTTTATTTGTTTTTATTTTATTACCAAACCTGGAGNATAATAATAATAATAATAACTCATCTATTACAACTTCTCTTTCAATAAATAACAAAATATATTATTTGTATCTTTACATTACATTCTCCCACGTTAAATTACCTTATTTTATTTAATTGATTGATCAGTAATGTAATTATTTCGCGTATCAACGTTTACGATCTAGTGGTCTGACGTAGGGCTTTCCCCCATTACGTTCCCATTCCTTGTTGAATTCGTGTTCCAGAATTTCAGCACCACGTTTACGGGTGAGTCCCGTTTCTTCCAGGGATAGCTCGCACATTTGCATATCGTCTTTTCCTAATTGAGAAACATTTCATACTTCGTAATAGCATTTTTTTAAAAATTATTATCGTTACCTGCTACCAGAAGGATCGGGGGTTTTTCCGGGTGGAGTTCCATTTGCCTTGCTACGTATTGCCCATCGAAATGGGCGTACCACCATCCCCTTTTATTCTGGTCTGTGGCTCCAGGTCTTGTAAACGGAATTCTGAAGTATCTCTGGTCTGTCCCCCCAATTACTGGCGCTTTTTGTTGTACTTTTGGCGTTTTCTGGGCTGCATCCATTACAGACCTCGGAGCCCTTTCGTTTTCATCCATTACTGTACGTTTCTTGTTCTTTGCTTTCCATGCATGGTAGACTTTAAGGCGCCGATGGAACTCATGTCTGCAAGCCTGTAAGAAGATTCATATGAAGGAAATTATCCTTTAAATTATTAATACATTTTCTTAAAATTTACCTCCAACAACTCGATATCGCAAGAAGTGTTGATTGTATCCCGTAACTCCGAGTATTTCCATTTGGAAAGATCGTACTTGCTTTTACTCATTGCTGCCTGCTGACTTCTAACAGCTTCGGACCTGTATTAACAACGTTTTTTAATGACAATACCACTCGTACATAACAAGAATCGTACAAAAGGCTATGCATTGTTAGCTACCTACTTGTTAAATGTTAGATAAGCTGGAGGTCAATACAATAACTCTTCATGAACAGTTAATACTTATTAAAATATCTAATATTGATGTGGAAATTCATTTTTAATTTAGACCAACTATAAATTACTTCAAGTTAATGAAGAAAAAATTGTTCCTGTTGTCACACCCTCGCCGGGAATCGAACCAAGAATGCACCAATGCTCAGACCACTAAGCACACACTGGTGCGTAAAGCCAAAGGCTGCGGGTTCGGTCCTCGGCGAGGGTGTGACAACAGCAACAATTTTTTTTCATTAAATTGAAGTAATTTATAGTTGGTCGAAATGGAAAATTAATTTCCACATTAATATTTGATATATTAACCACTATTAAACTTATTAAAATGTTATGTTGCACTACTTTTGGTACCTATTAAATAAAATGAAAAACATATTGCAGCTATTAACTGGTTAAGTCTCTAAGTATTTACAGGCCACAAAAAAAACCCGAAGCATATTGTTATGGAATAGAGCATGCACTCTGGGCAACAATGGGGCAGATTTTGGTTAGTTGTTCATGCAGTTCTTTAACTTTTGTTTTTCTATGTACCTTATCAATTTCTGGGACGCTCTTGTCGAGTCCATTCCTCCGCTGAATCATGGAAACAAGAAGCACTGACATAAAGCTGCCACCACAGTATAAATATACAGGGTGTCTGTAAATAACACGGACCACGCTTAATCAAATATTCCACACGAAAAAAAGACCGTACAAAGTATGGGCACCTAAATGGGTCTTCCTTGGTCCGAAATATGCGTTTAAGACTTGTCCGTATTATTAACAGGCGCCCTATACATATATATATTTATGTATGTACATTTCGTAGGTGGGGCAAAATCAAGTTTAAAACAACACAAATCTGTTAATATGTATAGTTCTTTTAAAATAATTTAATAATGGACTAAAATCAGAATAAAAGATTAATTATTATCAATTTGTCAAAACACATCAGTCAGTTAAATGCATAAATCATAATAATTGATCACCAGGAATATAAAAATGTTTAATATCAGATAAGTAGGTAAATATGCAGGCAAATTGATGAAATAGATCAATTATATTGTTTTAAACCTGTAGGCACCAATAAAATTGTAGAAATAAACTAGATACAGTGATAATGAAGATAAAAGTGCACCTGTAACTAAAACTGTAGATTGCATATTCAGATATATAAATATGTTATTTACTAATTAAAAATGGAAAAGAAACTTCGGTATACCTTAAATTTGCAATTAAATTATCGTCAATTTTTTATATTCTATTTGATCAGTGTTTATTATGCTAAAATGATTATATAAGAAGGTCCTACCTAGAATGGTTTCTATAATTAAGTGCTCTACTACATTCAGTAATTAATTGTGTAAATTTCAGTTTGCCATATCATTCGTACATTTGTGATTAGATAAGAAAAATGGGTTGACTGAATGTGAGTGAATGCCTTCTATGTTTATACAAAGGAATTATTTGTGATTGGAAAACGTTCAATTTTATTATTAACTTTATACCTAATTGTTTAATTACGTACTTGCGTATCATTGTCGGGCTGTCTTCGACTTGTCCGTTACTTTCTTGCGCCAATCTTACTGCAAGTTCGTGATCCTGTCTCTCTTGTTCAAGTCTTTCTCGTTGTTGACGTTCTTCTTTGGCCAACTTTTCTTCTTGGAGTTGAAGCTCGAGCGCTTTCTTACGGTCTTCTTCCTCCTATTTGAAAAATTTAAACGTCAAATCATTTACAGAGTTAGTTGCCTTGGTAGTTTTTTTTTTTTTTCCAGACCTGTTTCTTTCGTTGCTCCTCCTCTTGTCTTCTTCTTGCCTCAATCTCGGCTTTCTTCTTTCTTATTTCTTCTTCTTCACGTAGTTTCCTTTCTTCCTCCTCTTTACGTTTCCTCTCTTTTTCCATTTCTTCCTGGACCTTTCGCAGTCTCTCCTGTTCTTCGGCGATCTTTTCGTCTTGGATCTTCTTTTGCAACTCGTTCATTTGTTTATTTACTTTGATCACCAGCTGATTGTAAAGATTGTCAATTGTCTTCGCCTCAATTCTATCGTCTTTCTGAAAACGTGAGGCAGAAATGTCGACTTTAATATTGCATTACGATTAAGATGTTAAATAGTTACCCTAATTTTGTCAATTGCTGAAACGACTTCTGTCTTTAGTTTGTTGATATCATTCGTGAAGAGATCTTTGTTCTTCTTCAACTGTTGATTAATTTTTTCCAATTCTTTCACGTTATGGTCCAAACTTCTTATTTTTCGTAAGCCCTTTATTCTTGGTTGATGCCTTCTCTTGACCAAAAAGCCACGCACATGCTTTTGAATAGTTATTAGAGCCTTTCGACGATATATTATCTTGTTTTTAACTAAAAAAATATTATTTATGATTTTTGGACGAAGAAAGGGATGAGTTTAAACCCAATACACTTACGTTTGATCACAGTCAATGCGGTAAATTGGGATTTCAACCATCTGGCTTTCACAAGCCATGCTTTCACAGTATTTACAACGGATTTAAGATTCTCGGAGTCTGATCTCATAATTGTATCGAATTCCGAGTATTTCCCAGGTCTGAAGAATACCCTGGTTATGCCAAATTTGAAATCCTTTTCGTGGAGCTTCAGGCTGTGAAGCATTGCCTGAAACAAAAAGACAAATAGTACATTAAGGAAATTGAACCCAAAAGTTCGAGAAGAATACTGCTTACTTCGCAAAATACTTTGGGTGGCAGTCTCTTCAACTCAGGTGGTAGATAATCCAAGTACATCGAATGGAGTTCTGCAAATGGAGCTCTACTAGGATACCCATGTTCCATGAGTTCCAAAACGTGGACCATTCCAGAACATTTCAATTGCATCAAGCTCAAAGCGCCGTCGAACTTTTGGTCTATCATTTTAGAATTTGGTTTTATACAGCGAATGAAATTCGTTCCCTAAATGAATGGAATTAAAATCGTAAACATATCGGATGTAATTAAACGTACGTTGTTCCTTAACTTCTCCATGAGTTCCGCCAACTGAGTTTTGAATTTGTTACCAACACTTATGAATGTTAGTTTTCCTTTTTGTGCAGTTGTCGTGTTGGCAAAAAGAGACTGGATCAGTTTATTTTTGCTCTCCTGAACAATGCCTTCTAAGGAAGCGTGCAGAGCGTCGTTATTTTTCTCAATGAAGTGGACCTAAAAGCCAAAAATTGTGCACTAAATCTATGAAATTGTGGCGAAAGAACTTTTAGTGTTTTTTTTGTGTAAATATTTTGTACATATATTTTTCCTAATTTTATTTCTGCAATGTAGAGTACGACTTCTTATCTTTTGCATGCCTTTGTTTCCTTTCTGTTTCTATTCTATTGTCCCTAATCACCTTTACCTAGAAATCTAACTGCAACCGTTTCTGCGTGCACCTTGTACTAACAGCTGGCTTTTCCCTTAATTACCTTACCTAAAATTCTATACTGTTCAACTTCGTCAATTCTTCGTATTTCTGTAAGCTCGTGTCTTCAACCCCTATTGCCAGTCTTTGTCTATCTTGAGTATTCTATCTCTTTTTACTAACATTTTCCAACTATAAATACTCCTAACATCCCTATCAGGAATTAATTCATCTGTGTCTCTACATTCAACCGTCTCGTTAGTAAGTCTCTTTTCCTGTTATAAATTGTTATTATTGTCTTTGCTATTGTTATTGTTATTGCTATTGTTATTATTTTTGTTGTTGTTATTTCTTTGTGTGTTTTGGGCTGTTGTGTTTTATTTTTGCCATCTGTTTGTTTTGTTGTTTAATTTGTTGTTGGCATAAAATTTTGGTTAATTGTTTAAATAGTGTTTTTCTTTAATTCTTTTTATTAATAATTGTACTAAAGACACAAAAAAATAATAAAGATCTTATTCTTACTGTTTGGTAGCAAACACCCCCTGCAAAATGTCTAACAACAAATCCTTCATCGTCACGAATATTTCTGTGGGCTTGTAGTCTAGACGATCTCGGTAGGCCAAGTCTAAAGTTACCGGACCATTGGGAGTGAACTTCCGAAGTAAAGTGTTGATACGAAGGTTTGGGCATTTTAGATTCTTCGTCCAATAAACTAAATATTCCCTTCTTGGGAGCTTCAATCGTGTCTATGCAATCTTGGTTATCAACGAATTTTATTTCTGGTACATTCAGTCCCTCTTTCTTGTACAATTCTTGCTCGTACTTCAAAATCCTTTCGTTAAAGAACTGTTGTAACTTCTCGTTACAGTAGTTGATGCAGAATTGTTCAAAACTGTTAACGGTGAAGAATTCTGAAGGAAATTGTTATTATGTTAGGTATGTGTAATTTCAAAAATGTTTTCTGAAAAAACATACCAAATCCAGCTATGTCTAAAACGCCTATGTAATAACTGGAAGCTTGGAATGGTATACTTTGGTTTATCCTTTGGACAATGTAATCGAATAATTTACTATAAACTGCTTTGGCCAGTGCATCTCTTGCATTGTTAGCTTCATATACTTTCAGAGGTACCCTGTAAAATTGTTTTTCAAATATTGACGAGTCATATCAATAGAAGTAGAAGCTTACATGATAACAGTTCCTTTGTAACCTCCCCTAGCGCTTTGCATCACCCTTGATACCAGCGCCTGCCTGAGTTCGTCGGGGTCGATTGCCAAAAGTTTGGAAGCGATTGTGAGTGACTTTTCGCTAGCGGTTGTGACCCTGCAGCCTCCCTTGGTGTCCTCGGATATCTCTTCGAATTGTATGTTTCCTAGGTGAAGTACTGCAGCTACAGTACTGTATATTTCGAGCCTTTCACTATCTCCCATCCCCATTGTGCTCAAAGCTTTGTCCAAATGGGCAAAACTCTCCACATCGTCCACCACGGTATCGCGAAGACCACCCTGTTTGGAATGCGCCGCACTTTTTTGGGAAGGTGACAACTTTTGTTCGGACGACTGCTTGGTGAAATATCTTGTACAACCGTTTTTCAAATACTACAAAAAAAATGCGATAAAAGCAGATATTAACGATTTTAAACGGTTGTGAAGCATTACGTTGTAGTGGTCTGGTTGAGTGAGCGCCAACTGTTGCCTTAAACTTTCGGGAGCTCCCCCCAAGAGGATGTAGAAGATGTGGTATGTCCTTTCGTCGCCGGAAGCAGAGCAAATCCTCGACTTCTCCAGTAAATAATGTGATATAAATCCGCCAACTACATTAAACTTTTTGTCGTAGTGAATCTCCATGAATTTTCCAAACCTGGAGCTGTTGTTGTTTCTTGTAGTTTTGGCATTGCCGAAGGCTTCTAATACTGGATTTGCTTCTAGGATCTTCTGCTCGATGGGCCCTGCCGATCCTGACCCACGGTTATCGCAAAGGAATCGTAGTAAGTGTTTTGTGGATTCGGTTTTTCCAGCTCCAGATTCTCCTGAGACAATAATGGACTGGGACTGTTTGAGAACCCGAATGTCTCTTGCTGCTTTGTCAGCGATCGCGAATACATGGGGAGCTAACTGTCCAATAGATTTCCCGTGATATTTCTTTACAGTATCTTTGGAATATAGTTCGGGAATCTCCTTGTACGGGTTCACTGCTATGAGGATGTTTGCGACGTAAGACTAAAAGAAACAGAATTTTGGATTATCATAAGTACAAAGGATAATTTAGGACAACATACATAGATTTTGTTTTTGTAATATCGCTTGCGAATATTATTCAGGAGAGTGGCTTCATTCAGGAACATCATTTCACCTGGAAAAATGGTTAGTTAGAAAAGATCGATCGGGAAAGGACGTAGCAAACAACTTGCAGTTATCATCAAAATCCTTGTCTGGATCGCCGGCCCGGAATATGTCGTCGAAAGGGGCTACTCGTTTTGAAAATTTGGAATCGATCGGGATGACTTCTGCCCCATCTTCCATCAGTTCCGTCATCTGACCCAAGACAAAGCCCTCCTCGGTGTCACGCACCCACACGGTGTCCATCTTGGTCTAGATCTGTAATTTTTAACTGTTCGTTAAGGCAAAAACTTGCAGTTCATGATTTCTGTAGGAACACGCTACTAATACATAATTTTCTCTTGCATTTTATCGTTGCGATAAAATTTATCAGCCGTACGATAAACGCTAAGCTAAGTAATTTTGCGGCTATTATTATCGAATAAACTTTGTTAAAGTGAAATATTCGAACGTTTGTTAGAATCCCCATTGTGATGTCATTTTTATTAATATTTGCAGTCAAACGTTACAAACTGGTTCATTTCCTATTATTGCATTTACCAGTGGCCTATTGCAACAACGGTTATTGATATTTAAATTTTTTGAGACAACGTCCTACAGTTGAAACCTTTCACTTGTTCAGCAAACTTCTTGAACTTGCATGCTTAGCTACTACAACTTTAGTAGCATATGGCATTTCAACGAATTAAATTGTTGCTGTTTAAATAATCTTAATACTTATTATACGTTCTACTTACTTATATCTTATTTGTTTTGGAGGACCCAGTTTTTGCTTTCTATATATTATACAATTTCTATCTAGTTAGTCGATTGCAGACGTCACCAGTTACTGACGCATTACACGGAGAATTATATAGCTGTACACCATGCCACGATGGTTATTGTTTTATTGCATACTTCCGCGGTTATGAAATAATCTTTAATGACATTTACAGTGTATGTTATATGCCTCAATGTGCAACAGATAATATTAAACTAGCAATGGGTAAAAGAAAACAAATTCGAATATGGGGTGGGGCATGATCCTAATGAAACTCGTAAATTAAGTTAATACATTTTTAATATTCACTGTACAATTTGTTTCTTTTGTGAAAGCTATGCTAATTCCTATGGTATCAGTCTTCAACGATTCGAAACGCTTTTACGCTAATCCATCCCTAATTATCTAATTAGTAGCTGGTCTTAATAGCATGGAGCAAAACAAAACTGTTTAAAAGAAAGTAAAGCTGTAGCGGATGTTTTTTTCCTCTTTTGACTAGAAATTATAAAATAAATTCAGGAAGTTGTTGATCCGTTTCAGAAACAAAGGATTATATAGTGTTTTTCTTTAATTCTTTTTATTAATAATTGTACTAAAGACACAAAAAAATAATAAAGATCTTATTCTTACTGTTTGGTAGCAAACACCCCCTGCAAAATGTCTAACAACAAATCCTTCATCGTCACGAATATTTCTGTGGGCTTGTAGTCTAGACGATCTCGGTAGGCCAAGTCTAAAGTTACCGGACCATTGGGAATGAACTTCCGAAGTAAAGTGTTGATACGAAGGTTTGGGCATTTTAGATTCTTCGTCCAATAAACTAAATATTCCCTTCTTGGGAGCTTCAATCGTGTCTATGCAATCTTGGTTATCAACGAATTTTATTTCTGGTACATTCAGTCCCTCTTTCTTGTACAATTCTTGCTCGTACTTCAAAATCCTTTCGTTAAAGAACTGTTGTAACTTCTCGTTACAGTAGTTGATGCAGAATTGTTCAAAACTGTTAACGGTGAAGAATTCTGAAGGAAATTGTTATTATGTTAGGTATGTGTAATTTCAAAAATGTTTTCTGAAAAAACATACCAAATCCAGCTATGTCTAAAACGCCTATGTAATAACTGGAAGCTTGGAATGGTATACTTTGGTTTATCCTTTGGACAATGTAATCGAATAATTTACTATAAACTGCTTTGGCCAGTGCATCTCTTGCATTGTTAGCTTCATATACTTTCAGAGGTACCCTGTAAAATTGTTTTTCAAATATTGACGAGTCATATCAATAGAAGTAGAAGCTTACATGATAACAGTTCCTTTGTAACCTCCCCTAGCGCTTTGCATCACCCTTGATACCAGCGCCTGCCTGAGTTCGTCGGGGTCGATTGCCAAAAGTTTGGAAGCGATTGTGAGTGACTTTTCGCTAGCGGTTGTGACCCTGCAGCCTCCCTTGGTGTCCTCGGATATCTCTTCGAATTGTATGTTTCCTAGGTGAAGTACTGCAGCTACAGTACTGTATATTTCGAGCCTTTCACTATCTCCCATCCCCATTGTGCTCAAAGCTTTGTCCAAATGGGCAAAACTCTCCACATCGTCCACCACGGTATCGCGAAGACCACCCTGTTTGGAATGCGCCGCACTTTTTTGGGAAGGTGACAACTTTTGTTCGGACGACTGCTTGGTGAAATATCTTGTACAACCGTTTTTCAAATACTACAAAAAAAATGCGATAAAAGCAGATATTAACGATTTTAAACGGTTGTGAAGCATTACGTTGTAGTGGTCTGGTTGAGTGAGCGCCAACTGTTGCCTTAAACTTTCGGGAGCTCCCCCCAAGAGGATGTAGAAGATGTGGTATGTCCTTTCGTCGCCGGAAGCAGAGCAAATCCTCGACTTCTCCAGTAAATAATGTGATATAAATCCGCCAACTACATTAAACTTTTTGTCGTAGTGAATCTCCATGAATTTTCCAAACCTGGAGCTGTTGTTGTTTCTTGTAGTTTTGGCATTGCCGAAGGCTTCTAATACTGGATTTGCTTCTAGGATCTTCTGCTCGATGGGCCCTGCCGATCCTGACCCACGGTTATCGCAAAGGAATCGTAGTAAGTGTTTTGTGGATTCGGTTTTTCCAGCTCCAGATTCTCCTGAGACAATAATGGACTGGGACTGTTTGAGAACCCGAATGTCTCTTGCTGCTTTGTCAGCGATCGCGAATACATGGGGAGCTAACTGTCCAATAGATTTCCCGTGATATTTCTTTACAGTATCTTTGGAATATAGTTCGGGAATCTCCTTGTACGGGTTCACTGCTATGAGGATGTTTGCGACGTAAGACTAAAAGAAACAGAATTTTGGATTATCATAAGTACAAAGGATAATTTAGGACAACATACATAGATTTTGTTTTTGTAATATCGCTTGCGAATATTATTCAGGAGAGTGGCTTCATTCAGGAACATCATTTCACCTGGAAAAATGGTTAGTTAGAAAAGATCGATCGGGAAAGGACGTAGCAAACAACTTGCAGTTATCATCAAAATCCTTGTCTGGATCGCCGGCCCGGAATATGTCGTCGAAAGGGGCTACTCGTTTTGAAAATTTGGAATCGATCGGGATGACTTCTGCCCCATCTTCCATCAGTTCCGTCATCTGACCCAAGACAAAGCCCTCCTCGGTGTCACGCACCCACACGGTGTCCATCTTGGTCTAGATCTGTAATTTTTAACTGTTCGTTAAGGCAAAAACTTGCAGTTCATGATTTCTGTAGGAACACGCTACTAATACATAATTTTCTCTTGCATTTTATCGTTGCGATAAAATTTATCAGCCGTACGATAAACGCTAAGCTAAGTAATTTTGCGGCTATTATTATCGAATAAACTTTGTTAAAGTGAAATATTCGAACGTTTGTTAGAATCCCCATTGTGATGTCATTTTTATTAATATTTGCAGTCAAACGTTACAAACTGGTTCATTTCCTATTATTGCATTTACCAGTGGCCTATTGCAACAACGGTTATTGATATTTAAATTTTTTGAGACAACGTCCTACAGTTGAAACCTTTCACTTGTTCAGCAAACTTCTTGAACTTGCATGCTTAGCTACTACAACTTTAGTAGCATATGGCATTTCAACGAATTAAATTGTTGCTGTTTAAATAATCTTAATACTTATTATACGTTCTACTTACTTATATCTTATTTGTTTTGGAGGACCCAGTTTTTGCTTTCTATATATTATACAATTTCTATCTAGTTAGTCGATTGCAGACGTCACCAGTTACTGACGCATTACACGGAGAATTATATAGCTGTACACCATGCCACGATGGTTATTGTTTTATTGCATACTTCCGCGGTTATGAAATAATCTTTAATGACATTTACAGTGTATGTTATATGCCTCAATGTGCAACAGATAATATTAAACTAGCAATGGGTAAAAGAAAACAAATTCGAATATGGGGTGGGGCATGATCCTAATGAAACTCGTAAATTAAGTTAATACATTTTTAATATTCACTGTACAATTTGTTTCTTTTGTGAAAGCTATGCTAATTCCTATGGTATCAGTCTTCAACGATTCGAAACGCTTTTACGCTAATCCATCCCTAATTATCTAATTAGTAGCTGGTCTTAATAGCATGGAGCAAAACAAAACTGTTTAAAAGAAAGTAAAGCTGTAGCGGATGTTTTTTTCCTCTTTTGACTAGAAATTATAAAATAAATTCAGGAAGTTGTTGATCCGTTTCAGAAACAAAGGATTATACGGTTTTGCAACAATGAAATGGTTTGTTTTGCGTTACAGGTGTATTTGTGGAGAAAGTTTACAGAAAATAGAATAAAAAAATACTTGACAATTGTAAACTAACGACATTCGTTTGCATAATTAATATATCTAATTAAAAATTGGTTAAACACAAATTTTTCCCTTAACACAAATT